GAGGGCTCAGAGTTGTCCCCACCCCCAAGCCCAGGACCTGCAGCAGCCCCTCCCACGGAGGGGCTCTCCCTGCTCTCCCTGCTCTCCCTGGTCCTCCCTGCATCCCCGGTGCCCAGGATGATCGATTGCCCAGATGTTGTTTGTGCTGCAGATGGGACCGATGCCAGAGACCCAGAGACCAGAGATATGGAAAGGGGGTGAGAGTGAGAGAGAAAGATTCAGGGAGAAAAAGATGGGCAGATGTGAGGGAAATGGAGGGAGACAGAAGAAGCAGGGAAATGGGAGAGACAAAGAGAATGAGAGAGATGGAAAGGCGAGAGATGTTGAGAACGTGGAGAGACAGAGTCAAAGACTGAGAGGGGTAGGGAGGGAGTAAGAGGGGGAGGGCAGGGGTGGGTGTGGGCTTGAGTATCGGCCCAATGCTGCTCTTCCCCTGCGGGCCACTTGGTGACCTCTCCAGGCCACATTCAGGAACAGGTAGGGGAGAGGTGACCTTTGCCTCCGTGGGAATTTGAGCCCTGGGAAGCTGAATTCTGGATCCCAGATGTGCCTGTTTAGAGCTTCCTGGGAGCATGTCTCGTCCCCTGACCTCTCGGCCTCTCCCAGGTGCACCCCCTGTGGATGTGCTCTGGGCCCTGAGGTTCCCTTCCCTCCCTGATGGTGTCCGGAGGGCGAGAGGCATCTGCCCAGCCGATGTAGCCTATCGAGTGTCACGGCCCGCCCAGCTCAGCGCACCCACTCGCCAGCTCTTCCCAGGTACGGGTCCCACGGTGGGGCAGGGAGAGCCGGGAGGTGACAGGTGGGGTCTGGGATCCGACCCCAGGCGGGCAGGGGCTAGGGCTCTTTTTGCTCTTCCCCTCCATCTGCGTGCCTCTCTCTCCGGTACCAGGAGGCTTTCCGAAAGACTTCTCTCTGCTGGCCGTGGTCCGGACCCGCCCTGGTCTCCAAGCTCCCCTCCTGACTCTCTACAGCGCCCAGGGGGTCCAACAGCTGGGCCTGGAGCTGGGCCGACCTGTCCGCTTCCTGTATGAGGACCAGACTGGTCGGCCTCAACCCCCAGCTCAGCCCGTCTTCCGGGGCCTCAGCCTCGCAGATGGCAAGTAAGTCAGTTTGCTTCTCTGACCTGCTCGATCCACACTTGCAGGAGGGCGTGCCCCAGAACCCCCACTCCCTAACCTGGGAAACCCTGCTGACCTTTAAGCCATACCTACCCTCTGCCCAAATTTCAATCACTTCTAGCTCAGAGTTTGGGCTTTAAAGATTGCCTTCTTGCATGTAGTACTAGCCTGTACCTTGCACAAATCACTTAGCTCTGGGGCGCTAGTACTCGTGCCCCGTGTGTTTTAGGGTGCCTGGGCCAGGGGTTCTAATCACTGTAGAATCCTGACAATCAAAAGAGAATGACTGCATGGAGCCTGGTACACCGTAAGCAGTCGGTGAGAGGGAGCCGTCGGAGCAGTGCTGTTACCATCATTGGCTCCGACTCCGACCAGCTGTCCTCCAACCCTGCTGACTTTCCCACTCATCAGTCACTGACCGAAATTGTCCCTCATGACCAGGTGGCACCGTGTGGCTGTGACTGTGAAGGGCCAGTCTGTCACTCTCATTGTGGACTGCAAGAAGCGAGTCACCCGGCCCCTTCCCCGAAGCTTACGCCCAGTGCTGGACACCCGCGGGGTGGTAATCTTTGGTGCCCGAATCTTGGATGAAGAAGTCTTCGAGGTAACCGGAGTCATCAGGAAGAGGCGTGATTTCTGGTCTCCTATCTTGTGCCCACTCCCCTGTGGCCCCAGTGGGAGCAGGCCTTCATGTTTTCTCTCAGGAATTTGTATTTCCCTTTCCTGTCGTCAAGACTAATTTTCGCCGTAGTAGAACCCGATGCCCACTTACATGGCAGGACTGACCACAGCCACTTACTCTGCCGTTCAGTCTTTATCAGTCTGCTCATCCGCCCATCTCTTCACCTGGCCTGTCTGTTCTCTCACTCATCCATTTACTCACTCTGCACGTAGGCAGGCATCCGCCACCCAATCACACATCCATTTAACCATCTATCCATTCACATACAGACCCACCTATTCATGTTTCTAGGCTTGGTTCCATCCACCTGCCAGTCCTTCTCCACTCGATCACCCCCTACTTCAAACCATCCTCTCATCCACTGGTTCTCTTCAACCCATCTATCCAGCTATTCATCCGTCTGCCCCTTCTACCCATGCACACAGGAGGGATGCACACATGCACGCATATCTCCATTAAGCCATCCATGTATCTACCTGTCCATTGGCCAACTCAACCACTCCCTTCTTCAATACGCTCACCTACCTATCTCCTTACCCATCCACTCCCCAGCCAACCAATCATTCACCTATAGATTCAGTTCCATCGATCTAACCACCCACAAATGTGCTTCTGCCTATTCTGTGTCTCCCATTCATGTAACCACCAATCCACCCATATATACATTCATTCATTCATTCACCGTCCATCTCCAACAACACTCCCGTTCAGTCATACATTTGAGCCCCCGCTCACCCATCTGCCCATTCACTCTATCCATTCATCCAGCTGTCTATCCATCTACTTAGCCAGTCCACATTTTATGAATACCTGTTGGCTAAGGGAAACACACAAAAAAATATGATAAGGTCTCTATCATCCCAAGGGCCTCCTTATTTGGCTCTGGAGATGACATAATATCCCCAAACTACAGTGCAAGGCAGGATATAAGGACCACGTGTGGGCACGCATAATTGCCATTAGAATTCAGAAGTAGATTCTCCTAGCCCATTTCTGGAGGCCCTATAAATTCCCATCATCACCGTCATTGGAAGCCCAGGCAACTAAGGCTGGAAAACTGTCTCCAGGAGCCACCGTGAAAGGCTCCTGCCTTACCGCAGGGGCAGGCGAAGTATGCTGAACTTGAACTTGAGGTCAAAAGCTTGGGTTCTAGTGCTGATTCTGCCATCTGAGTGTGAAATCCTGGGTTCTAGTGCTGATTCTGCCATCTGAGTGACCTTGGCTAGTTACTGGCTTTTTGAGCACTTGAGATGGAATATATCTGAAAAGTTCCCATAAAGATCCCTCTTTTATGGGCTTTCCCCGCTCTCCTGAGATTTCCCAGATCTCGTGAGATCCTTTGAGGGTTGAAAGGGCTGTGCCCTGGTGGGCCGAGAATGACTTTCTCCCAATACGTAGTTTTATATAGACTTACTCCCAGTATATAGACTGGCTTCCTACTCTAGCCCCAGCTTGTTCTCCCCGTGTCTCGCCGGGCCTCCCTCCATCAGCTCTCTTCCCTCATGTCTTTGCAGGGTGATATCCAGGAGCTTGTCATTGTTCCGGGGGTCCAAGCTGCCTATGAATCCTGTGAACAGAAGGAACTAGAATGTGAGGGGGGCCAGAGGGAAAGACCTCAGAACCAACAGTCTCACAGAGCCCAGAGATCCCCAAAGAAGCAACCATCAAGACTGCATAGGCCACAAAACCAGGAACCCCAGCAACAGGTGAGGGGATTGGGCAACCCCCCAACCATAGCACCCCAGGTAGGGAAGAGACCCAGACACCTCCCCAGGGGTACTCCTAATATTCCAGCACTCCTGTCCCAAGTGGGATCCTATTCTCCCCTTTCTAGTTCTCCTCCACAACCAAACCTCCCTATCTGCATCACATACCTCCTCTTAGTCCTCGTTCATCAACCTTTTTATTTTCATTTAAAAATAAAAAGAGTCCATATAAAGAATTCCTGGCTGGGAGCTGTGTTCCCTGCTTGTGTCTCCTCCTCTGCCCATCTCCCTGAAACTGTGTCCTTGGGTTCCCCGTCTCTTCTTTGAATTAAGAGATTGGGAGTGAGTTGAGGAGGGGTAGGGCTGGGGAGGGAGGAGGGAGAGCAGAGTAGGGGAGACAGAAATGAGATGGGAAGACCTAGAAGAAATGGGGAAGCAGCAGAGGTAGAGGGATCTCAAGGGGATGGTGGGCCTGTGGGGTTGGGGAGCACAGGCTGTGGCCCCCCTGCATGTGGGGGTGCAGGATCAGGGGTTGTAGGCGGGACAGAGGGGAGATTGGATTGGGTGGGGTTTGGACAGTTAGGGTGACAGATAGGATCTGGGGTTAGTGGTCTGAAGACGGTGGATCAATCTCTTAATCATGTTTGCTTCTGTCCTACATGCGGGACCCATTTCCCTTTTCCCACCTCTCCCCATCTCTGTCCCGACCCCCAACCTCTTCTTTTCTCCTCAACTTTCCCATCTCCGTGCCTCCTCCATTTCCCAACTCCCACACCATCTCCTGACCTCCCTCCCAATCTCCCGTCTCCTCCCCACCTCCCCGCTCCCCACTTCCCTAATCCCAGCTCACTGAATCTCTCTACTATGACTACGAGCCCCCCTATTACGATGTGATGACTACGGGGACAACCCCTGATTATCAGGTAAACATGAGGGACCCTTTCTCTCCTCCCCTTCCTCCTAGTCCCCCTTGCGAATCTTTCCTGAGGCACCGCCCTCCCCTCCAGTCTGTAGGTAGAAACACCACACACTGTATTTGGGTTATGGGGGTTTACTCACTGCCCCCTCCCATGTCTCTCTGCTGCAGCCTCCTCGGAGTCCCAACCACAGGGCTCCCCCTTCCCCTAGGGGGCGTCGGACCCCTCCCCGAAAGCCTACCCCACCTGCCAAGAGGTCAGCAGCCGGGCAGGCGTCCCCCTCACGAGGCTTGAGGCCCTCTGGAACTGGAGGCTTTGGCCTGGCACAAGGCCAGACTCAGGCCTCCCGACGCCCAGCTCGGCGGGCAGCTCCCCCCACTGCCCGGCCACCCCCCAGGACCAGAGACAGCGGTTACCGGCAGGTAGAGCCGGGGCATCCAGATCTCTGCCCCCCAAACCTCTCTGACCTTGGAGATTCACTCTCCCCAAGCTGTCCTCCTCCAAAGGGGCTGCAAGATCTGTGATTTCCCCCACCCCCCAGCACAGACAGACGCTGCCCTCAGGGGGACAGGTGCTGCTTTGCTCGCTCCGCTAACCTCCTCTTTCCTTCCTTCCCCATCAACACTCTTGCCCCCCTCCCCTTGGGGTCAGTACCCCACCCCAGGCGAAGAGGAAGGAATCCTGGAGTCAAGCCCCTTGCCACCCCCTGAGGAGGTAACCCCGCCCCCCACCCTCACCCCAGCCGGGCCAGTGGGTGTCTGTGACCCAATCCTCTCCCCCATGTCATCTTGAACCAGCCCCTCCTCTGGCCGGAGGGCTCTTCGTTGTATCCATTTGTGGCCTGTCTTCCGTTCACACCTATCGGTCAGCTTGTCTCAGGACAAGTTCCTCCAGCGTCTGTGCCTCCTTGCATTCTTTGGTTCCAGAGTGACCTCCTCTCCATGTTGTCAAATGGTCTTACTTTCTACGTTGCATTGCCATTCCCAGGAGCCGTTTCCTGTGCATGCTGTCATCTTTTCTGTTCTCCAGTCTTGGTTTGTCTCTTTGGTCATTTGGACTCCTTTGTCTATGATTATGTCCATGGACTGTCCACTCTGTGTCCAGCCCTCCGGCCTCCCTTCTTATTATCCACTACTTCTTCCCACCGGGCCCATTTCTGGACACCCTTCCCCATTGTCAGCTGTCGATGGCCATCCCATTTCTATACAGCCACCCCCGCCCCGCTCTTCTTGGGGAAAATGCCAATCCTAATTATCCCTAGAATCCTTGGGGTGAGAAGTTGTCCCACCTGGGGTCCAGGGAGAACCTCCTCTCAGCCCTAACGCCCCTGTCTACTCCTCTCCCTCCCCATCCCCGGGAAGGAGCAGACAGATCTCCAGGTCCCCCCCACAGCTGACAGGTTCCAGGCAGAGGAGTATGGGGAGGGTGGCACGGAGCCTCCATCAGGGCCCTATGATTACACCTATGGCTATGGGGATGACTATCGTGAGGAGACGGAGCTTGGCCCTGCCCTTTCTGCGGAGACAGCCCACGCAGGAACCGTAAGTCAAAGGCGCTCTTCTTCCATTCTTGACCACCAGTGGGAGCTGCGAGAACGGCTTCCTGTTCTTGATCGTCGTCTGTGGGCTGTGAGCTACTTCTCACAAACGCCTTGCCCTTTTCTGTTCCCATAAGATGTATATGTTGCTTGAAAATGTTGCTCCCGGTCTCCCCTTGCCAAATATCTTTCTCTGTGACTCTTTGTGGACTCTTATGCCCAGGACAATTGGGATTTTATTTTTTAATCCTGTGGCCGCTTCCTATCTTTCTTGACCACTTCCTGTCTAAATCAAACTGGATTTCATAAAGCTTTTGACCAATAAATTCTTACCTATGTTCATTGTCAGTCTGTCTCCGTAATTTCTTCTTGGTCCAAATATTTTCTTTTCCATGTTGCTGTCAAATGATCTAATTTCCTGTGTCTCACTTTCTAACATGCAGGTCTTTTTTTTTTTTTTTTTTT